TTGAAATGTAAAAAGCATAGGAGATATTATGATGCGTAGGCCGTCTGTAAATATGTAAAATCGTAGCTTGTCAATTTATAATTTTTTTATTTCTCAACGAATTCATTAAGATATGTTTTATGTAAAACACAATTAATTAGTTATAACATAAATTAATTACATGATAACTCAAAGAATTTTTGAAAATATCGTTTATAATTCCAAATAATAGTCAAATTATTAATTTTCCTATATTTTCTGAAGAGAAAAATAATAAAGATAAACATATCCAAGGAAATCCATAAAATTAATAAAGAATTAACATCATTATTACGGTTAATAATTAAAGTATATTTTTATAAATACAAAACTAATTTTCATTTTTATATTATAAAAATAAGGTTTCAATAAAAATTTTAGACGACGAACAGAGTGACAAATTCTAAATTCCATCTATAAATATTTATCCATCAATATATATACATATATATATATATATATATATATATATATATATATATATATATATATATATTGAAAGTTAAAAAGCTGTAAAGGACTACCGTGTATGAGAGAATGAATGCAAGAGAAAGTAAGGAAACAGGCCGATAAAGTAAAGTAAAAACGAGAGGAGGAAAGAAGGAAAATAAAAAGAAAGAATATAAAAAAAAAACAAAAAAATAGGAAGAATAATGGACAGTTGCTGCAATCAACTTCCCTCTGTTCATAAGCGTTGCGTTAAAAAAATAAATGCACATTGGTTTTACAAAGTATCGTAATCGACTCGGATGTCAATTTAACACTTTATGGATAAAATTTTTATCAATATTGTTAGCTATGAACGGAACTTTCTATTTTATGCAACTGAATAATTTTGTCTAATAGATATATAATGTTGAAATGTAAAAAGCATAGGAGATATTATGATGCGTAGGCCGTCTGTAAATATGTAAAATCGTAGCTTGTCAATTTATAATTTTTTTATTTCTCAACGAATTCATTAAGATATGTTTTATGTAAAACACAATTAATTAGTTATAACATAAATTAATTACATGATAACTCAAAGAATTTTTGAAAATATCGTTTATAATTCCAAATAATAGTCAAATTATTAATTTTCCTATATTTTCTGAAGAGAAAAATAATAAAGATAAACATATCCAAGGAAATCCATAAAATTAATAAAGAATTAACATCATTATTACGGTTAATAATTAAAGTATATTTTTATAAATACAAAACTAATTTTCATTTTTATATTATAAAAATAAGGTTTCAATAAAAATTTTAGACGACGAACAGAGTGACAAATTCTAAATTCCATCTATAAATATTTATCCATCAATATATATACATATATATATATATATATATATATATATATATATATATATATATATATATATATATATTTTATCAAAAATTAATTTAATAAAAAATTTTAATTTTGTTAAGATTATAATTAATATAAAAATTGAAGTTACCAACAGTGTACAGTAAGCTTTATTGCTATAAAGCAGCACATTTATCTATACAATTTTATTCGAATGTATTATCGAAAAGGTTTATTGTTTAAGTTTTTATATACCGTTTAGGTCAAATTACTGTAAAATGACACTTGTGAAAGTTTAAAAATCAATATAACATTAATTTCTAATTACACGTCGTATAATTTACTCAATCGGGCATAAACGGAAATTTGCAACGTGTCATTAGGTTATTTCTAAATTGTACCGAGCATTTTCAAATATTTAATTAAGAAAATTCGATTTATTAATTATTTTAATGTTGTTATTTAACCAGTATGCACTAATTAAATAAAACTTGAAATTTTTCTCATAATTTCAAAAGCAAATGAGCTAATAATTGACTAAATTTTGTGAATAAACACCGTAATAAAAGAAAATTGATAGAAATAATATTATTAAATACTATTTCTTTATATTTTTAATATTGTCAATTTGTTGTAAATATAGGAAACAAAAAAATTATGAATGAAATGTAAATACTTTAATAAATAGCATATTTACTAATTCTTGTATAACTTAATTGTATATATTAGATGTAATATATACATAAAAGTTTTAAACATCTATTGTTAAAACTATTAATAACAATTTTCAAAATTTTCATAGAATATTTTTCAAATTAACACAAACATTTTAGTGATAACACTAAAATATGTATTTGTATCGAATTTTTAAACATGTGCTATTAAAATGATATCGTTACATCACAACACTTACGTATGACCTGACTATCGCTTAGAGAGAATTGATTTGGTTATGTTAGAAAGTACCGAACTTATAAGATTGATTCTTATTTTTAATAAATAATAAATTGATACGTATATAGTAATAATAATATGCATATTTAATGTCACTCTCGATTGAAAATTTTAAATAACATAAGCAATATGGCCGGGCAGGCTTATGGAATTTATTCTTCAAAATTAAAAGGAAAACTTTCATACTTTAATATCATTACTAAATATTTTAACATATTGATGAAAATGAAAAACTAATTAATCTTTAAGAATTACTATTGTGATTTGGACAAAAAAAAAAAAAAAAAAAAAAAAAAAAAAAAAAAAAAATAATAAAAAAAATTGTAACAACTAACAATTGGCCTTAAAAAATTTAACTCGTACATGACATACTAATGAGATGAAAAATTATTTATATAATATTTTTTATTATTAAAAATAATTTCTATAAAATTTTATATTTTGGAAATAACAGTTGAGAATTATGAATTGAAAGCCATGTACTATTAACGTTCAATGTAATATAAATTAATTTGCAAAGTATTTAATTAAAAATCTAACTTTTCAAAAATATAATTCATTATGTTTTAATGCACATTAAATATAACAAAAATAAACAAATAATTCATCGATGTAAATGTTAAGTGATTAAATAAATGAACAAAGTATAAATGATATAAAAATAAAATAATATGTTTCAACAAATTTAAAGAATTTATAATAAGGATTTATTATAAAAAAAATACCTCAAAATTAATGATATTTTAATAATTATGACCGAAAAATAACAATATCTCATAAAATATTGTCAGATTACATAAACATTTAAGGTAATTTGAATCATAGATATAATTTTTAATTGTCATTTTTTAGACTCTCCTGGAATGTTTAATAAAACATAAAAGAAGTAAATATATAATAAAGTAAATTATGAGTAAATAAATTTTATAAATAAGTTTTAATAAATTCATCGATTTTTATGAAATAAACACGTAAAAATACAGTTGAGTTGAGTGGAAAAAAAAAAAAAAAAAAAAAAAAAAAAAAATTTTTGACATTAATAATAATAATAGATATTAATTTATGTTTAAGTAGCTTAATGCAATATTTATACATCCTTATACAATTTAATATTGTAATTTTATCGGTTTTTATTTGAACAAAGAATTTGTAATAAAACAATGAAATTATTGTTGGACTCGAGTCAATTTAAATGTGTTATTAATTTTCTATGAAATTATGGCTTGCCAATTTCAGATATAAATTATTCATTCAAGAGCAAAAAAAAAAAAAAAAAGAAAAAAATTGATAATTTCAGTTATAATTAAATAGTCTTTATAAAATCATGAAAAATTCAATCAATAATTACATACTTACTCCTTATAGTGCGCAATCTAGAGCAATATTTGCATTTTAAGGGCAACGTCAAAATACGAAATTTAATGACTTAGCTAAATGTTCGTTTGGATCGCAATTACGTTGGCATGAAATAAAATTGGCGCTCTATATCCTTCATTAACTGGTGCACGTTGTATTATCAACTCCGCGACGTTTATAGAATGCAAAATATCACTTGTTATTATATAATGAGTACCGAGGAATTTCATTCCAACATGTTAATTTCTCAAGGGAGTGCAAGCCGTGTGTTTAACGCCAGTGTATAATTAAAATAGATACAGAGATAATTAAAAGGAGCAGAAATTCTAAAATAAGAAAATAAAATGTAAATATAATTATTTTTGTATCGTTATATTATAAAAGGAAAATTGCAACTAATTTTTAAATCGGTAATCGCTTTGTGCTCGACTAGCTTTATGTACTAAAACGACACTTGGCTATCACTTAACGAGCCGTTACGAGAGAAATATCAAGTGAATCCCTACGCTGAGATTCTGCCGAGACGCTTGAAGTGAATGTGCACTTAACTGCAGGCACTTTTCTCTTCCGACTCGATGTTTGCCCACGTGGGCAAGAATAACAATCGTCGATCGAGGCCAAATAAACGTCTGAATTTTGAAATTCATATCACTACAAATATCTCTCCCATGAACATTTGTAAACAACTAGTAGAGAATTATTTAGAAACAACCTTATTTGCTTTATTCTCGGCTTCTTTTTCTTCATTAATTTAGCTTTAAAAAAAAAAAAAAAAAAAAAAAACAATGAATTAAAAACGAAACAAATTCAGGAAAATAAAAAGCTTTAAATAATATCAGCAATATTAAAGATGAAATTTTTTATAAAAAAAAATTTTATTTCACATTTTATTCCATGACGGATTTTTGGTAAATAATGTTTTCATATGAATTTGGCAGAAATAAATAGTTAGTCACTCATACAAATATGTCAAAATATTATGGAAGCCTACTTTCTCTCAGTTTCTTTTTATCTAATTGATTCCATTGCCATTCAATTATTATTAATAATATCACGCATATTTACCGATATTATAAAATATTTTAAAAATTAAAGAAGCGCATCATTTCGATTAACGAACTGATTTTTATTTTAAAGCTCATTCGATCGTAACGATGCAGCAAAATTGTACGATATTTTTATATCGTTTATCGCGAATAATATTAAAAGATTTAATATATCTATTTAATATAATTAACCGATATTGCGGTTAAGATTTCGGATTTAAAAATTTCATAATTATACGTTAATCCATAAGTCGGTTATTAAATCAATGTTGTTAGTTGTTCATTGACGCTAATAATATTAGCCACGTATTATTGTGTGATAATTTCAGGTTTTCCAATGACGGATGTAATACAAGAGTCCGAAGATTTATTGGAAAGATTGCAGCCGATAGCCCGAATCGCACAAATCATGAATTGCTCCGGCCAACCGCACATATGCGGTACCGAGGCCGCCTGTCAAGAAGCCGAAGACTCAACTTCCAGATGTATTTGTCCACACGATAAATCACCGCCTACCGCTGATCTTAAATGCCCAAATCGCGTAATTGGTAAATACCATCTACACTGCTTTCTATGCCAATTCCGAAAGATCACAAGTCGCCGCTGAATTCATAATCATTACGATAAACATACGACGTCATTACGATATGACGGATAATACAAGTTTATGTTATTTTATTGTATTTTAGTTCCACTGACACCTAAGCCTATACACAATATAATACCTCCCAGTGGCAATGTGACAAATACTACAACTATACTTCCAGAGCCCGAGCAGGTAATAAGAGATGAAAAATTTAAATAATCATTACATAATATTAATGATGTAACTTATTAACAAATTACCACATGTATTTTCTCAGACGATATTACTGTTATCGGCATATATTTATAAATTACGAATAAAGTTATAAAAGCAATTGAGTGAAGTGAAATTAAATGAAACTAATTCGTCACAAATCAAATTCAACAAAATTATATTTCCAGGTTGAACGCCTGGAGCCTAGATTGCCTGAAGTCACTGGTATCGTAATAGGTTGCGTTTTAGTCTTGGCAATAGTGATTGGATTAATTTACTATTACAAACGACGCAGTTTCAACGCCAAATCAAAACGCGGCGATCTTGAAGTAAGAGCAATAAGCAATCATTAATTAATCATTACATATTATTGATAATAGAGGGAACAACTTAAAGCTGCACATTAAATGATTAATCGTTATTTTGCGCGATTGATTAGATTAATAGTTGACAAGTTTAAATGTCTTTTATACATTACACAGTTATACTAAGATTTTTTCTTCTTCTTCTTCAATAGTTTCTTATTTTCAAAATTACATATTCTTTCTCACTTTCTTTAATGGACATGAACTTTACTAATTTAGGCGTCACCGATGAACTTGAAAACAAGTCTCTTATTGGCTAACAAATACACACCAAATCCACAATATTTTACATGCGATTCGCCTGAAGTTCCAATTTTACAAAGAGATTCACTAGTTTTTCTTCAACACATCGGTGAAGGTTGCTTTGGAAAAGTATATAAAGGTACAAAAAAACTTCATCAAAATGCTTACATTATTAAATAAGTTGTCCTTATTTAAGTTTTAATAAATAATTCATTAAAATCGTTGAATGTTAAAAAAAAAAAATCAAGAGATAATTATACATTTCTGCGATTCTAGTGAAAACATTTGAAATACGTACTGGCTTAAATTCACTGTAATCTTGAACATTTTGAAAGCACTTGGAAGAAAAGTTAAATATAGTACAATAAATATTTTATGTAAAATTTCTAATATAAACTTGTGAACTTATAACGAAATAGGAGTATAATTTTAGATGATTTTGTACGTTTGTTTTTTTATTTGAGTACAACATATGTTAATACTTCTTCTTCTTTATATTGTTATTATATATAAACTTTCAAGTTTTATAAATAATTTTGTATGAAACTTTATTAAAATTTTAATTGCTAATAAATTAATCGATAATATTCCTTATGAAAGAAAATTATTAAAAGAATTTTTTGTTTGCACTGCAAAATATTTCTTATAAGGCTATAATAATATCCTATTATTTGCTAATTATTTTAATAAACTGTAAACTCGTTAGTATTCGTTACGAGGGACATTATGGTATATTCCAATCCATCGTTCGCGCATAAATATTTTTCTCTTTTTACAGGTAAGCTTATCAACGAAGACACGACCGAGATTGTAGCGATCAAAGTGCTGAAGGATAGCGCGAGTCGCGCAGCCGAAGAAGATTTCATGCGCGAAGTGGATATAATGTCAACGTTTCGCCATGACAACATTCTTTCACTCGTTGGTGTTGTTTTACGCGACACCTCTAATAGCCCTTGGATGGTCTTTGAGTTCATGCCCTACGGTGACCTGGCCGAGGTACTAAGAGCCAATTCACCGACACTGCGAACACCGACACCGGGTCTACAGCCATTGACTAAGGTTCATGATTTACGTGCTCTAAATTATTAAAACAACAGACTTGGTACTAATTTATCAATTAATAAAAACATTAATACACTAGTCAACAATAATTCTTTTATATGAGTTTCAATCCGATTCTCAAATTAAGAATATTGCTCAACTTTACGCAACTCAATGATTAAATAAGATAGCTAAATATCTTCCGTAAATAATAAAAACAATCTTAGTTAATAAAAGTAATGTATTAATGATAATAATAATAATAAAAGTAAAGGTAGGAATATTCTCGATAAATAATTATAAAGACATAGTTTATAAATACATTATATGAGAATGCTTATTCTTAAAATTGTTCTAAAAATTTGTCATTAGTAATTAGGATTTATTATAAAATATACATTTCTTTTTACAATTAAAGAAGATAAATTTATTAATGAATATAATGCTAATAAATATATATATATATATATATATATATATATATATATATATATATATATTTCAGTAGCGAATAATTATTATTACGTTTACAATTAGATATTTCAAACTTGACAACTTGAATTTTCATTCCTATGACGTAAATTATTATTGGAAATTATGTCTTAAAAATAATTAATTATACACTCAGCGTCCGAGATGAATGTTTTTTGCTATTGACTATAAATAAAATTAATTTTATAGTCATTAAATCAAAGAATTACCCGAGCGCTTGAATGCAATTAAATAAAGCCAATATATTACAAGAATTAAGAAGGTAATAAATTTTTTCGCAACTAATTTGACCTGATAAGGTAAAAATATATAATTATCGAATGAATATTCTCGCAGAGTTTGTACGAAACGTATGATAGATTTAATGAAATAGATTCTTCGAACGCCAAGTTCTCCGCAATATTTTTTTATCTCGTTTTTTTTTTATTTTTTTTTTTTATTTTTTTTATTTTTATTTTATTTTTTATTTATTTTTTTGTATTTTTTTTTGTTTTCTATTAACAGACATAATTTTGTTTTTTAAAATTTTTTATATTTCGTATTAATGTCTTTTGTATTCAACATGTCGTGGATGCAGGATTCCCTTCATTGGATAACCATACAGATAGCATCAGGAATGACGTATCTCTCAGCACAAAGATTCGTTCATCGAGATTTAGCATGCAGAAACTGCTTGGTTGGCTCTGGTCTTGTCGTGAAAATTGCCGATTTCGGAATGTCACGTGACATTTATACCTGCGATTATTACAGGGTAATTCTGATTTTCTCCATTATAATTTCTTTTAGATTTCTATGAGTCTAGATCCGTAATTGATAATATCAACGTAACGTATGAATTATATGAATATTTTTAATTAAAATTCAATGATAATTGTATTTATTTATCACTTTCTTTTTCAGCCATTTTCACCAATATTTGATATTTTAAGCGAACAAGTTTATTATTCTTATACTATTTGCATTTTATAACATTTTATAATATTAAATGTATTATATACAAATAATCGAATTTATAAATTATATATAAAAATTCTTTTTAAAATAATGCAATTAAAGCACAAAACATTTTTTGTCTATGTTATTTAAACTATAAATATTTCCACTGAAAAAGAATGATTTTAATGATACATAAAATAATTTTAAAATATTAAAATTGAATGAAACATTAAAAATCAACAATACTTTTATTCAAATATAAGCATAATAAAACATATAAGGAAATTACTTATAAGAAAATATAAAATAAGTAAGATTGTGATAAGATGGTGATTTTAAATATTTAAAATTGTTAATGCATATTGATAATAATTTTAAAAAATCTTATCTTTATTAATTGACAATAATATTATTTTGAAATTTCTATTAAATATATAATTAAATTTATTTACCGCGTGATCATTCATAAAATATTAATAAAATTATTAGCAAATTTTAGTTATTTAAATATTTCTAAATGTTATTTCAAATGACATAATTTAATGGGACTAACTTTAATAATTATTTAATCTATAATATTGAACATTTAATGATAATTAGAAAACTTTCACATTTCTTTTTAGATTGGTGGCTCAAGATTATTGCCAGTACGATGGATGTCACCAGAAAGTGTAATGTATGGCAGATTTACTCTGGAAAGTGACGTTTGGAGCTTTGGAGTAGTTTTGTGGGAAGTTTACTCTTTTGGAAAACAACCGTATTATGGGCATAATAACGATGAGGTGCGAAGAAATGCTAAAATTATATATATTTATACATAAATTAGTTTTTAGTATGTTTGAAACTTAAATATATGATAAACTCAATTGAGAAATTATTTCTTGTTATATAAAATATTACAATTTTTATACTTTAATCGCTCTATAGTTACTGATAATTTTTCAAGTTTATAATAATCAAAAGTACACCATTTATTCATTTTTATTATTATTAATGTTATCACTATTATTATTAAAAACAAACAAACGAAGAAAAAAAAACAAAAAACAAAAAACAAAAAACAAAAAACAAAACAAAAAAATAGAAAAAAGTAAAGATTATTATTCTTCTTGTTGTTATAATTTTTGTTGCAATAAAATAAATATTTTAATATTTGTAATATAGGATAAAGCACAATGATAATAATATCTTTTAATTAATTCAATCTCCTTACTTCTTTGCAATCGTCTGAGAATATTAAAATTCAACGTTCAATGCTTTATCAAAATTATAAGAAAATACTTTAATCATAATTTTAGGTAATGAAGCTGATCCTTGAAGGTATAATGCTAATACCTCCAGAGGATTGTCCACCCTATGTGTGTCAGATAATGCGGGACTGCTGGAAAACAGAGCCACGTGACCGTTTGCGCTTTGTCGATATCTTGGAGAAGCTTGAAAAAGCTCAGGAGAAGCCCACTCAAATTGGTTCATTACCCAGGCCACCCCAGGGTCCAGTTACGATACGCGCTCCAGATGTCCTTGATCCTGACGGTTACCTGCTACCATCCCCAGCAGCGTTACATGAATATTTGCAGCCATTGCCAATGTAAATCGCTAGAGTTTTCCTGACTCGGGCTTAGCGTAAAGTAAGACTATCCATTTGTTTACGACTATTGCTCGTTATATGTAAATAAGTTCAATCGTTACTAGATTTCTTCCATATACCGGACGATATATACACACGGTAAAAAAAAAAAAAAAAAAAAAAAAAAAAAAAAAAAAGAAGGAAATGTCACTTAAATAACAACTTTTAGAAAATCTTCTTACCTATTAACTCAATGATAGTAAAATTCAAGTAAATTAGTATTTCCAATTATATAGTGAATGAATTAAATCTTGATTATATAGGAGGTAAAATTTGACTTTTTGTTTATTTCCAATGCTAAAATCAAATTTATTAATGATCTGATTTATAAGATATCTGATTTCACAATGAATATGCCTATTAATAAAACTCCAGAGTAATACTAATTTTCTTGTATTAAAGAAATAGCTCGTTCACTGTAAAAATTCTTTCAATTAAAGAATCTCAAATAGTACAAGACCTTTTCGATAAACAAATGGTATTATATTGTAAAACGTGGCGTTGAATGAAATTCATTCGTTAACTAAGTTGGAAATCGTCGATTATAGTCGACTCTGACAGAAATCGTTCGATAATAACTCGCTAAGTCGAGTAAATAGTTTCCGATGTTTCTTTTGTTAGGTTTATTTTTTTCGGTATAACATAGAAAAATGTTTATTAAATACATTTATATTCATTCAAATGTTTTTTATAATATTATTCTATATATATATATATATATATATATATATATATAGAATATTATTAAAATTCTTAGAATATATGTATATAAAATTATTGAAAAGATAATTATTTTTATATCCATGTAGTATAACTCGAGAGTTATAAATAAAACCAGTCAATTTTTCAATAAAAACAGCAATTATAAAAATGTTGAAAATGCAAAGGGTTATTATATACGTTTTCAATACCTTTTCAATATTAATGTTAATCACAAAATTTAGCTTTACTCATTTAATAATTATTAATGATCATGTATGCAGATTATTCTGCATTTAACAGAATGAGTAATGAAAAACAATTCCAATAATTGCATTTCAATATTAAAATATAATTCCAACGTTGTATTCATAAAATTTCAATAAATATTTCTATTTCACAGTCTAAATATGCCCTCGCATAAGCCAAAATTAATATTCTAATATAAAAGTTTTTCAATTATTTTCATATAGTTATTGTGTATGAAAATTTGTTTATCATATGTAAATTATGTATTATAAATTTTACTGCGTAATTTCGAAACTTTGTTAAATCGACAAAATTTAGGTATTTTTTATATTACACATTACATTTAAATAAGTCATCGTATGATACCATAAAAATAAAATATTATCAATAATATTTTTAAAGATTTTAAATTCATAATTGGGAGCATAGATTTTACAAATCTTTAATTTTTTAATTTCGCCAGCAATATATGTTACTATTATTCAATTTATAATACATAATATATAACTAAATATTTTGTAAATTTCGTAAGCATAATGAAAATAACAAAAAAAAAAAAAAAAAAATAGAACAAATCTTTGTTTGCAGTAAAATAATTAATAATCTCTTAATTATTATATTCTCTACACTTAATACAAAAACATCGTTGCTATTGAATTAACGATCAAATCAAATTATAACTATTAGAAAAAAATGAATTTTTTTTTTTTTTTTGAAAATTTTCTTTCTTTTTTAAGAGTAGTATATATATATATATATATATATATATATATATATATATATATATATATATATATATATTAAAAGTCGTGAATCGTATTAATAAAATAATAATAGGTAAAACATTATTTAGTTAAATAATAGAACATAATATGAATTTTAATCTTCAAATGTAATATTCATAAAGAAGATAATACTCATACTTGTGATAAAGTATTAAAATACATACATCGAGCATTTTCTTATCCAAAATAAAAAATCTCATACAAATAATAAATTTTGTAAATATATAGTTATTATAGATAAATTATTTATAAAATTAATATTATAATGATTTTTAAGTTAAGATAAGATTCTTACAATTGCGCATCCATGAGAAACTGTAACTTCGATAGAAAAAGAAAATTAAATGTCTATAAAATAATTAATGGATAGCTTCATTATAAAATTTGTGCTACTACGATTTTATATCGTTAATTAAAGATCTCAGAAAAATAATAATGATAATGAATTCAATATCAAAAAAACTATTTTTAATATATATTATAAATTTGTATGTATTTATAAACAATTCTGAATAACATGCTAATATCTTTTTCATGTACATAGTATAATCGAATATTGGCATGTGTATTTTGTTAAAGATTACAGGAATATTTTACATGACAATTATGTTAAAAATAATGTACAAAATCGTTAAATGGGAGTATTAGAAATATTTTTTTTCGAATTGTATAAATAATAATTGTATGTAAAAAAAAAAGTTGTTATCTACACAAGGGTATATTAAATTTTGTATAATAATTTCTAATCTAGATCTTTATTTATTTATATCATATTATATTATATTAATTTGCCTTTCTTTGATACAAACATTCAGTTTCACAAAATATAAACTAATTTTGCTGATATGCATTATTAACTATTTCAATTTGAATAAAAATCATGAATGAATAATTATTCAAAACTTTCATAAAGATTTTCGAAATTCTATCTATAAACATTTTATTAAAAAATATATTTCTACAGAAACAATTTTATACGTGGTCAAATTAAAAGAAGTTCTATTAAAAGAAATTTTTTAAAGAATTATTAAACAAATTTATTAATAGAAATTGAATGAATAGAATCGATATTTTTTATCCAATTCTTTAAACATTCGCGATAGCTTTCATTAATTGGAAGACTTAAGTACAAAACCATAATATTCGCAGTAAACATTAATCAAATCGTGTCGTCCTGTAATTGTCGTAATATCAAAAAATTTACTTTTATAAGTTTAAATTATTGCGTGGTTTACCCTATTTTATCTTAAATAATAAATTATTATAAAAATGTATTCACAATTATGTTTTAATTTTAACAGTTATGTTCTTCTATTTTTGAAATTTAATAAACGGATTATAAAAATTTGTCACTCAATAGCTTTTTAAAAACTTAATTAAACAGATTATTGTTGAATGTAGTTTATTGAAAATTTAAATAAAAAAATTAATTTGAAAAATTACTAAATGAAAAATAATCTATGTTTATTGTAATAGAATATATATATATATATATATATATATATATATATATATAAATATAAAGATATATATATATATAAATATATCATATAAATATATGAAAACAAATGTTCGGTACTCTTATGATAATAAACAGAAGAAAAATATTTCTATCAAAAAATTAATTTACGATAGCGTTACCGGAATTGTTAACGGTAAGTATCATTTAAAAAGAGCAACAATTTCATGACAGTTTAATAAATAATGAATGGTATAAATTTTCGAAAAATTGAGAAAATACATGTATGAAAAGAATTAGTAAACATAAAATTTTTATCGGAATGTAATTATTATTATTATAGAAGAATAGAAAGAAAGAATCTATAACAATCAGAAAACTCTGAAATTCATCGTAATTCTTTTAACCAACTAATATACAGAAGTTTATGTAATTATTTAATTGTTTTAATTAATTAGATTTTCAATTTGTCTTAACATTTAATTTATACATTATATGTATTATATATACATATATAATTGATTCTTCTGAAAGCTGTGATAATTTGTCATTTTAAATAAGTAATATATTTCTTTACAATTACGTAAACTAATGTATATATATATATATGTGTGTCTTTGTACATGATTCTTAGCTGAATTATTTTCCATGCCATTATAAATATTTTTATTTTACGTTTGCTTTTTGTTTATGTTTGAATAATTTTAGTGAAATAATGATTTTAGTAAAATAAAACTAAATTAATACTTATGCCGGATACAAACAAATCTATTGAAAATTCGTTTTTCTACAGCAATTATAAACACGGTGAAAGATCAAAGAAGAACAAGCTGAATAAAGTATATTTATAGCATATTAATTTATAAGTTGTAAAATAATCATAAACGATAGTTATTGAAAATAAGTATTGATATTGCATACATGTAAATGTTACAAAGTACAGTTTTAATTTCTCTTTTCAAATAAAATATAGTATATTTTGTAGCAAATAAATCTATTACTTCATATGACTTTGTATGTATTATTTCTTTATTATTCATCATTTATATAAAAAAATTACGGTTAAATTTCTATTTCTTAAACATTGTACTTATTCGTAAATTATTTCAATTAATCTAGTTGATATTAAAATGGACAATCAATTAATAAAAATCATAAAGTTTTGATAATGAATAATATAGTGGCTATAATCAGTTACTAAATGATTTTGACAAACAGAATATCGAATTGACAACAGATTATTTATTTTATTTGTGATAAACAACAAACCCGTGAAACTTAAAATATAATCGAAATGGATCAAAAAAAAAAAAAAAAAAAAAAAAAAAAAAAAAAAATACCTAACACTTGGAGTAAGAATAAAATAAAAAAAAAATAGTTTTAGTATTACGAAACTATAAATAATGTATGATCAAACAATAAAATCAACAAAAAGTACACGATATATATATAAGTAAGTGAATGTAAAACATCGAGTAATTTTATCGACGGTAAAATTTAGAAAAAATAAAAATGAGTAAGATTAATCTGTATTTTGGATTTAGGAACATCGAATCATCTGATCAATTAAGATAACTTGTTTTGAGTTATAACGAATTGTAGCTATCAATCTTAAAAGATAAATATAGTATAGTAAGTTGTATATTGTCTTTAATGACAGAGTGGTTAGGTTATAAAAATATTATATAATAAATCACTCGCGAGAAAGTAATTTAATTATGGAAATATAATGTATTTAAAAATAAATAAAATTAATAACCGTGAGTCTTTATATATAATAAGTATTTGGGAATTTTCGACTTTGTATGAAAATATTCAAATTAGAAAATAACAAAGGTATAAGCTAAAATTAGAAGAATTAATGGATGGTAAAATAAATTTAATAATTAAATAACTAAAGAGAAGACTAATATTAAAATAGATTATCTTTTTATTATATATAATCTTATGTTACAATTATATTTAATTATTATTGCATTTAAAAACACGATAGAATGCAATTTCAAAATAATACCATAGATTATACCTCAAAAGCTAGGTAAAATTTTAAATTAAATAACAAAAGCCTTAACTATAATTAATTCTTAACAATTAATATTTACATTTCATCATGATATAAACAAAAACAAACAAAAACAAACAAAAACAAACAAAAAAAAAAAAACAAAAAACAAACGAAAAAAAACAAAAAAACAAAAAACAAAAAAAAAAACAAAAAAAAAAACAAAAAAAAACAAAAAAAAAACCCAAGTATATATATATATATATATGAATATAGCTTTATAAACGAAAATAGAATAATATTGTTGTCTCTTACATTATTAAGTGAAGCAATGTGGCTCAAAAGTGTTTATAACAAAATTAAAATAATTGAATATATCAAGATTTATGAATTTCAAATATCAAGAATCGATGCTTTATGTAGGAACTCAAAAACAATGAAATGAAATAGTATGCTCTGCCTGCCACAATAACCATATGTCCAATATTTTAACAAAATCTGCCATTAATTTACAAAAATATGAGATGAATTTAAATTGCAGATTATCGATGGATTTTTTCAAATAAATATTGAATTTCGTAAATTTCACAACAATTTCATCACTGTAAATTTAGTCATCTTGCAAACTGAAATGAAAACTTACGTAGTATTGTAAACGAATTTGGGCCTTAAAGTGCTTAATTCCATGAACAATGAAAGGAGAAATAAAGTCCATCTGTGTAACATAAGCATTTGTAATCGTTAATTTTTATATACGCGTGTGTTTATTTATATTTCGTATGCGTGTGCGCGCATAAAATGACTGCACCGGTAAAAAATAGTTTATGTTATTGTCTGACGGAGACGTTATCCGTCAAGCAGAAAGTAATATATGAATAAGTGTCGATCAGTAATCAAAACATTCGCCGTCTAGTGGCGTGTAATAAGTTAACATATACTTGAAAAAGAGCGGCCGACGTTCTTTTGTTTGAAAGTCCGTCGAATTCTGCCCGAGTCCTGTCAACCGAGACGACCCAACTCTCTATTTGTATTTTTTTTTATTTTTTTTTTTTTTTTTTAAGCCGATTAAGCGACGAAAATACAGAAAATCGGTTAAAATAGAATGTCGTCTGACAAAAGTTCACTCAGTACAGAGCCGAACAGCAACGACGAATGTGTTATACCGTCGCTACGCTTCCCCCAGAAACTCTGGCGCATTGTGAACGAGTGCAGAACCGGCGCCATAACTTGGGGTGCGAATGGCCTAACCGTTCTTCTCAGTTACAAGAGCTTCCAGGAGGAGTACCTTCATTGCGAGAACTCCATCTTCAAGACGACCAATATAGCCAGCTTCATACGCCAATTGAATCTCTATGGTTTTCGCAAGGTCACTTCGCACAATCGCGACCTATGCAACGGCACCACTGCCTTTCAAGATGACATTCATGAATTTCTCCACGAGCACTTTCGATCGGGCAGGCTCGATCTGCTATCGAGGGTCTGCAGGAAAACTGGCGTGAAGAAGAGTCTGCTACAGGCGAAGCAGGGAATCAAGCAAGAGATTCTGACGACCGCCGTTTCGCAGAACCGAACATCGGGCATGACACGATTGCAAATGTGCCAGGTAAAGGAGACGGACGAAGGCATTTTCTATTTTATGTTGGATTTTATACATAAAATATCTATAAGAATGCAGAATGAGCTGGGAGTGCCGATTTATTACTCGGTAATAATAAATAAATCAAGTAGCGCGACGTAGTTTATTCAATATGGGGTACGTCAATCCCCTCAACTCAAGACCTCCCGCGGTCCAAGCGTCATTCCCATGCCCAAGTTGTTACTTGAACGTGAATAATTTCATCGAGCTTTTTCATAATTTATAGCCTACGAGGAAAAATTAATAATATAATTGAATCACTGGCATTTGCTCATAATTGATGATCATTGAATGTTACATTTTAAATGAAATTTTTTTCAAAAAAATTATGATCTTTACAAGGTTCTTGTTTACACTCGCTTTTTAAAAATGATATTAATTCAACTGTAATTGAAAATAATCATTTGATATTCATTTACAAAATTTATGACTTTTCATTTCAGTTATACATTGAATAAAGTGACTTAATTAAAATATCACATTAATATACTACAACAGAGTGTAGTAATGAGGAAACGTATATAAAAGCAATTTTAATATCTTAAGAAAAAAAAAAAAACAGTTTATTCTTTTGTAAATACAATATAAATGCATCATCGGTTGTATTTTAGCGTTATAAAAAATCATAAATCATGTGCTCTTGATTTAGCATAAAATGTACACGATATGTAAATTACCGATAGTCTAAATTATTAATTTTGAATTTTTTAAATAATATCTATTTTATATGCGCATTGATATTTTAACAGATTTAAAAGTGTAATTTACAAGTGAGATTGAATATGTAATTTAATAGAATACTTTTAGATGAAAATTTTTAGCGCAATATTTTATTATTAAAATTTAATATTTTAAATATCAAAGCAAATTTTTTAATTATCGGAATACAAATAAATATTCTTAAATTGTATTGACTCTATTTTTCACTTTCAAATGATATTACTCGTTACTAACTACTTCCTTAAACAATTAATAATCGTTTTAAATCTCATTACAGATTGCACTCACTAAAGCTTTAGAACAAGCAACTAGACAATATAGAAGAGAGAAATTTTGGCTACAACTGTCCAATGTATCCAAGGATGCATTGAAACCAAAATATAAGAGTACGTGTATGTGTTATTTTACATTATTTTGTAAAATAATTAAATATAAATTTCCTAAAGATAGAATAACAAATAAGATAATTTAATTACTTGTAGCAAAAATATTGGAACCAAATATTCAAATAATTTTTCAAGATTTGACAGAAATGCAGGATGTCGAAAATTTACCAATGCTTGATCCTTCAAGTATAGAAAATATAGATTATCAAGATAAAAATCAGTGGGAACAAGTCTTTACTTTATCGAAAGAAAATTCTATTTCAGTGCCATAATAACCAGTATTTTTATTCTTACAATTAAAAAGATAAATTAAAAATTTGTCTTAATCGTAATAGTTAATATAACGTAATGAGTATTTTTAATATTGTAGTTAAATGTTTGTTACTGTAAAAATTAGTTTTTTTTTTTCATTCTTTTTTTTTTAATATGTTATCGATTTAAAATATATTGTATATTTTATGAATTGTTAAAAGTTAAAAACATATCATAGTTTAATATAGTACTTATGTTAAAATATTCATGTGGATTATATAAAATATCAATCAAATTACATTTGGGGTATGTTATTATCGAGTTTAAAAAATGAAACATAAGAATTAATTTTGCCTTTTTAAGAAAGTGTAAACTACTTTATTTATGCATCCTAATAAATAAGTCCGATCAATAATAATTCATCATAAATAATATTAATTTTTACTATTAATATTGTATAATGAACTTAATTTTATGTTGGCTTATACAAACTTTTTCATAAATCTCAAATTAACAAACATAAACCCTACAAAAGCTGCATGCATTCATACACGACAAAATAACTTATTTTTTGGCACTATTTATTTATGTGTCCTTTACAAATTTCATCGTAATTATCAATGTGTTTGTGTATTAAATCATATTGCGCGAATGGCGGAGCCCACGTCGGACGAGGGTGAAATTCAATTTTATTACTATTATCGACGAACAACGAAAAATCGAGTTTCATTATACATTTGAATTACTTTAGCAACTTGGTTTCATTAATGACTTGTCCATAAATTATAATTTTTATGTTCCAATTGCTAATAAGACTCGGTAATAACCGTTTTCTTGAATTTATGAAATCTATATTTTCTGGATATATATTATATTCCGAATATCCTGAACTATATCTATTTCCTTGAATTCAAAGAATAATCCTCCCTATCATATCAAATATATATATATATATATATATATATTTCCGGATCGTGACCATGTTTAGTGATGAAATTGATGGTTTATTAGAATGAATCCTTAATTTTTACAATTAGGAAAATTAAATATTTATCTTGAATTATATAATACGGTAGAAAAAAAAAAAATCTTGTTTTTCCTACATTTACAAGGACACCTAGATCGAGGACGGACATTTTTTTTTCTTCTTTTTTTAACTATATTTGTCCTTGGTACATAAATCTTGTAATACCATTGAATAATTAAAATAAAGTCGCTGTATTTATTCGTTAAATTTATATATTTTATATTTATTTATTTTTTCTTTTTTTAAGAATTCATTTGCCAAATAAATTAGAAAATCTGCAAATTATTGCTAAATGGTGTTGTTATTTAGCCATAAAAATCAATATATCTGCAAATAATTTTGTCGCAATACGCCCAGCATAAATTTACGTAAGAGATTCGAGGGTTTGAGTTAAGCTTTCATCGAATAAATATAGTGTAAAAATACACAATAAATAAATAACGGCATTATGATTGCATTTTTTATCTTTTGAAATTACTTTTGAAAGGGACAAAAGTGACACCTGTGTATATACATTTCTGCATAAATCTAAAATTAAAGTTGCAAATACATATACAGTTCTATCCACAACACCACAATATTTTTATATAATTATAATTTTGTTATTAGATACGGATATGTTACAAAAATTTAATTCTTATTTGTAGTAATCTCATATAACTTGGAGAAATAATTAATTAAGTAGTCTTTATTATCGATTTACAAATAAGTCAATTGTATCTAACGAAAAGTTAATGATAAACATTATATAGTATATGACTATATTATGAAGTTTCTTTTCACTTTAGCCTATCATAAATGCATTTTGCTTCATAGAATTTTATCAAGAAATTTGATAGTACATGTAGATTAGAGAACACCATACTGTCATATATACAGTGAAAATCATGTTAAATTCTGGTTTTAAAATTGATTAAATCCAATCAAAGGTACTGCAAAAACAATGATAAACTTTTGCATAAGCAATCACGACTTTCCTTTTCAGTTAAAAATTTTTCACGACTATATTATCGGACAATATTATTTACATTATACCATGCATTAAGGAAAAAATTTGTACATTGTATCTTTGTTCGTTGTTGAATTTTAACTACGGGAGAAAAATCATAAGAATTCAGAGTTTATTATTCAATTAAATAATATTTTAATTAATTATTTTTTTACAATATTTCCCAAGAATTACATAGTATCCTTTAACTCCCAAAATTTCCAGCTACTACGCTGTCATTTATATATTAAAACTACAACAAATTTTATTAATTGTTATAATATATAATTGCGATTTGGCAATAACAGCAAGAGAAAAAGAAAAAAAAAATCAGTAATATAAATATCATTATAATTATAAATATTTGCGTCAATTTAGGTTATTTATAATGTGACTAATCAAAGAGTCATTCATTTGATCAAAACTCAAAATCACATAGGAGCTAGATATTTTTTTACTTATTCCGTAATTTGTTTATGTCTATATATGCGCACATAAACTATTATACTTCTATTTATACTTAATATTTTCATTATACATAAAATCTATCTTTGCAAAATTAAAAGTACAAAAACATTTTATTTTTCAGTTATATATATTTATAAATATATTTTTCAAATTGATTTGTAATATATACGATATAAATATATACAGCTAGAATGGTAGAAAATTTGAGAATGTAATACATTTGTATAATAAGTTTAATTATGAAACTATTTTATAAGGTATTTTATAACAAATTACTTTTACCAATAACGTCAAAGAAAATTCCCTGAAACATTTTATAATTTTCATAACAATAAATATAAAAATAGATAATAGCTCTATGTATCTTTGTACATTAAAACAAAGAAGTAAAAGATAATTTAATAATAGAGAAATATATATAATGAAAATAAGAACGGAACACTAAAATTATTATATTCTTTTAATATTTTTGCCGTGTTTTAATTAATAATTAATTCTTGATATAAAATATTTTCTACAAGCGACAATAAAACCCTCGTATTTATCTCTTTACAGTTAAATGTGATGATTAGTAAATGTATTAAATAGTTAATGTCAAATTTATAGAATTAAGGACTTTTTATTTTTATATAATTAACAATGAAGTATGCAAAACATAACAATAATTATTATTATTGTCATAGAAAATTCATTCGGATTATTTAAAAAAATATATACATAAGAATAGCATTATTCTTCTATTTATAATAATTTACAAACGACGATATTGTACTTTAAATTGCTCGAAATCCATAGTAATTACTATGAATTATCTCATTCGAAAAATAAATATTTTAACTGCCTGTCCTATCAAGTTTCTAAATACTTCTTTAATATTTTTCTACTTGTTATAACTACCTTTATAATATAATATTCTAAAAGCTCAGTTGAAACCAAGTTTAATTTGAAGTTCAATATTATCATTATTATGTTAATTGTTAGAAAATTTTTTTTATTAATTATTATTATATTTAAACTATTTAACAAGTTATAGCCATACTTACATTGAGAAATGTTAAGTTATGTTTAAAACTTTGAAAATTTGTTTAAAAATACTTTTTAAATTCTAATACAAATATATATTGCTTTTTTGTATATATATGAATTTCTATAGAATTTTATATAAAAAAAATAATGCATAATCGTAGTTAGATTCGATGAAATATCCTTGATTTAGTGAAGTAAATTGGTTGCCGAAGTAGTGTCGTGAAATTTTTATCTTTATCACAATTGTAAATGATTATGTAAATTTTATCGCTTTTAATACAATGACAGACAAAAGTGCATTTAATGACAACATATGAGACTGAAATTATCGTATATTCCAATAAACCATAAAAATCTTAATTGTTTAAAAATAAAAATCGTCTTAAGTTTTAATATATAAAAACAAACAAATCTCATTTAGATAACATAGAGTTAATATAATAAATTAGTACCGGTAGTTAATCGAATAATTTTGTTTTTGAATTGATTAAAAAAGAATAAAAAAAATTCAATTAACATTGTACTTCTAAGAAGTTCAGGGTTATTATTATTGAATTTTATAAGAAAATATTATAAACGTAGTAATAAAATTAATAAAATTGTTTAAATATTACACGATTTTAATAAAATTGCCTGTATAATTATTAATATTATAACATTAATTTTTATATATTTACCGAATAATCAATCAATCATAAAATCCCTTTCAATCATTCAAACTCATTGTCTCTTATCTATTGCTATTTTTATATTGATTCCACTTACTTTAACGAAACATTCAATCATTTAAGCGTTTTATCGTAAGAAAACATTTAATTTTAAAAACTTAAACCTTCTGAGAATTTTAAGTTCGCGCCTACTACCCCTGTCCCACTTTTCCCTTTCTAAATTTTTTCATTCCTCTCTCGTTACATTTCGAATATTGGGTTTAGTAGTGTGGAACACAGATGTCACTGAGGGTCGGTCTGTTGATGAGGACCGGGCGTCAATCGGCGTTTTAATTCCAATTTTTAATTATGGTAATGTAATTTTAATAAATCTTTTTTTTATTATAGAATATAAATAGAACATCAAGTGATAGCACTCTTATATTTAAAATAGATTTTATTTTATATATAACCATCTACTTAATATATGAAATTTAAATTCCTTATCTAACCATAGGTTATGTTTTAAAATTGTTTGTATTTCTTGCATGCCTTATTTAATAAGAAGCGATAAGTATTGTATAATAATTTTACTGATTTCATTGTATAAGAACTTGAATTAAAGCTGATCTATCTTATTTTGAATAAGTATTATAATCTTAAATATTATGTTTTATAATATTGAATAGGCTTCCAGTGATGGAATCCCACCACCCGCAGTTCCTGGATTTCCACCGGCGCCACCAGGTTTTGTACCACCAATGATGCCAGCAACGCCATTTATACAACCACCGAGCTTACCACCAGGCCCTCCAGGAATAATGCCACCGCAGTTTTCTATTCCCCCACCAGGATTTGGATTTCCAATATCAGGCCCTCCAGATGCTGGCGTAATTGGTAAATAAGCGTATAATTTTGCTTTATAATTAATTACATTAAGCTTCGATAACATAAATTAACCATATGATATTCTAAAGGAAATACAGCATCGTTAAAAGTACTTAGTAATTCATATAACCATTGAATTAAAGCATGTGCATGTATTGATAAAATTATAAATTATATATTTTTAGTTGCTCCTCCACATATTACAGCTCCTGGTGTACCTCCTCCAGCACCCGCGGCTGCCGATATCGCAACAAATGCATTGGCTGAAAAAAAATGCGATTGGACCGAGCATAAAGCACCCGATGGCCGTACATATTATTACAATAGCGTAACGAAGCAATCCCTTTGGGAAAAACCGGATGAATTGAAATCTCCGAGTGAACTGCTATTATCTCAGTGTCCTTGGAAAGAGTATAAGTCAGAAAATGGGAAAGTTTATTATCACAATGTAACTACAAAAGAATCCAGATGGATCATTCCACCTGAATTAGAAGATTTGAAAACAAGAATAGTAGCGGAAGAGGCTGCAGCAGCTGCAGCAGCTGCTGTTGCTAGTGCGACAAATACGTTAGTTATTATATTTATTACAATTATTATTAATTTTGGATGTAAAGAAAGATTAAATAAGCTTAAATGATGTTTGACGATGGTGCAATAATTGTATAATTATTAATTAATATTATATTTTTATAGTTGCAGATAAGATATTTTTGTACAACTTAGTATAAATAATAAAAATGTTATTTTAAGGATCAAAAATACTAATATATTTTAATATATATCGCATATTACTTTTATTTTAATTTTTTTGCTTTATAATATTATTTATATGGTTTCAGTGGTGGGGTACCCTTGCATCATTTATCTCCAAGTTTGAGCGTAATATCGCAAAATAGTACTCCAGAGCCAGGTGGTAAATCTGCTATCGAACAGGCTATGGCAGCTACTCTTGCAGCAATAAATCTTCCAACTCCACCTTCAAAGCCAGATGAAGATAGCAATTCGGCTAAGGGTTCGGCGAGCGGTAGTCGAAATAGTACTCCTGAACCAAAAATGCAATTTAAAGATAAGAAAGAGGCAATAGAAGCCTTTAAAGAATTACTCAGGGAGAGAGATGTCCCATCTAATGCAACATGGGAACAAGCAGTGAAAATGATACAAAATGATCCTCGTTATCCGCAAATGAAAAAATTAAATGAAAGAAAACAGGCATTTAATGCTTATAAAACGCAAAAATTGAAAGAAGAAAGAGAACAAGAACGATTACGGTAAAAATATAAAACATGCTATTTCAATTAACTTTACTCATATATTATATAAAATTTCATATTACATTTTAAGCCTAAAAAAAGCAAAAGAAGATTTAGAACAATTTTTATTAGAAAATGAAAGAATGTCAAGTACAACTAAATATTACAAATGCGAAGAAATGTATGGAAATTTAGAAATTTGGCGGGCTGTAGGAGATTCAGATCGTCGCGATATATATGAAGATGTTATATTCAATTTAGCGAAGCGTGAAAAGGAAGAAGCAAAACAATTAAAAAAAAGAAATACAAAACGATTAGCTCAAGTTTTAGATATAATGACTGATGTCACCTATAAAACAACTTGGCAAGAAGCTCAATCTTTGCTACTGCAACATTCGGCTTTTGCTGAAGATGCAGATTTATTACAAATGGATAAAGAAGATGCTTTATTGGTCTTTGAAAATCATATTCGTCAATTAGAAAAAGACGAAGAAGAAGAAAAAGAACGAGAGAAAAAACGTAGAAAACGTCAGGAAAGAAAAAATAGAGATGGATTTATAGTTAGTATTGTTTATAAATGTATCCATATGTTAATTATTTAAAATTTTATAGATTTTATTTTTTTAGAGTTTATTAGATGAATTGCATGAACAAGGAAAATTAACATCGATGTCTCTGTGGGTTGAATTATATCCAATGTTATCAGCAGATCTCAGGTTTTCAGCAATGCTGGGGCAGCCAGGATCAACACCGCTAGATCTTTTTAAATTCTACGTCGAAGACCTAAAATCAAGGTTCCACGATGAAAAGAAAATTATACGAGAAATATTAAAAGAAAAAAATTTTGAGGTTCAGGTTAACACAACATTTGAGGAATTTGCAACCGTTGTTTGCGAAGATAGAAAGTCAGCTACTTTAGATGCAGGTAATGTTAAATTGACATATAATTTACTCTTGGAAAAGGCTGAGGCAAGAGAAAAAGAGCGTGTCAAAGAAGAGACAAGAAAATTCAAAAAACTCGAAAGTGGCTTCAAAAATTTATTAAAGTCTGTTGAAGTTAATCATCAAATTACATGGGAAGATATTCGAAGTAAACTTGAGGAAGAACCAGATTTTAAAGCTATAACACTTGAAAGTGAAAGAATTAGAATTTTCAAAGAATACCAGCATGAACTTGAAGAAAGTTGCAGCCATCATCATATTAGGAGTAAAAAGAAAAAAGCAAAGAAACCTAAAAGAAGATCACGCTCTAAGTCACACAGCGTATGTACAATTTATGCCTAAACTTTTTCATTTATAATCTTGGACCAATATTTTTTTTATTATAAATGTCAAATAATTTTTTATAGGAGTCCGAAGGAAGTGAAAAAGGGTTAAAAAAGAAAAGACACAGATCGCGATCAACTAGTCTCATGAGTAAGTCGGATAGTTCGGAGTCAGACGCCAGGAAAGCTAAGAAAAAAAAGAATAAGAAGAAAAGAGGCAGAAGTCAATCTGTGGGTTAAGAAATAAAAATAAATAATTTTAAATTAATTTTTAAAACATATTGCTAACAATATTATTTTTTATGTAGAGATCACATTCAAGGATTCCGTCATCCGAGGAATCACCAGATAGGAGAAGAAAAGAAGAAAAGCATCGTAGGTCGTCTGCTCAAAGTGAAGGTTCCGTTAATGATGCTGTACATCAGGAACTTTCAGAAGATGAACTGGAAAAGCAAAGGGCACAATTACTTCGAGAGCTTCAAATGCAACAGGAGGAAAACTGAAAATAGGTTCATTATTATTAATTATTGTAATTAGTTTGTAGAAGTAAATATCACTTTAAGATTATTTTCTAGATCAAAATATGCGTTTAAAGTTTTGTATCGAAAACTTCTCTTAATGTTGATACTAATTTGTACCAGAAGACTAGCTTTTTGTTATTAGTCATGAAACATTAAACGTTCTTAAGAATTACGTTTATAACTAATTAAGGTAACAGTAATTAAATTCAAGACTTGCATTGGTATTCTAAATTATTGCAGTAAAGGAAATCACTGAATTATTTACAATGAACTTATTCTTATACGTTTATTAAAAACATGATATGGCATTAACCTTAAATCATATATGCGAATGTATATTTTAATATGTTGGGGGCAAAATAAAGGCTGGGAATAATAAAGTAGTCTTCATCATAATTATATAATTTTTTTTTTTTTTTATATGAACACATGTACAATAATGGAAATAACAGTGAATTTTACAAGATTTTCTAAGAGAAAATATAAGATTGTAAATTGTATTATGCATTATAAAATTTGTTCTGAAATTTGACACAATGTAAATAAATCTACATTAACTATATAATATCTGTTTGCTGCAATTTCTGCCTTTTTTTTTTATGAATCAACGAATTATCTGATAATTTATAATGAATTGAGAAGTGAATAAGAAAATTAAAACAAATGAACACAATATTTGTAAATTTCATTCTATATACCTCTTATATAAGATCGGGGTTTTAATTTTGGAATGAGTTTATTTAATTGTCAATTAGAGATGATTTAATTGTCAATAAAATTTATTTTTAATTTTAACTTTATTATATAAGATATATTACCCTCTGATTTTTAAAATTAATTTTTTTCTTTTGCATATCGTTTTAATTATAATATACATAAATAATACATTTATGAATTATAACAGATGATTTAAATAATAAATGAATTAAATAATAATAAAAGCGTTGATAATTAATAATAACTCAACTACAAAACAATCATTAGAAATGCTCCCAATGAAATTTCATAATAATCAATAATAATATCCATGAAATAAAGGAATAACTTAATAATTTAAACAATTTGATATCTTTCTTCAATGAAAGTTACTACAGATGTATATTATGAATCTATTTTAATAATAAAATAAAAATTTAATTATACAAAGCGATAAAAATTATTGCGACATCTCTATATAATCTTTCGTGTTTTTAATGCCTTAAAATAATCTAATTACAAAATTAATTAAAGGATCATTTTTTTGTAAGGTAAATGTAATAATTAGACATATATATATATTAAATACTACAATATTATCAACAGAACAGGAATAAAATTGAAGTTATTTTATTTAATAATATAAAATCTAAATAATAATATAAACGAAATTCCAAATGATTATAAATAAAAGGAAGATTTTTTAATATAATACAAATTCCGAATAACAACCCAAATCTCAATTAAAAATTATTTTATTACTTATCTGAATTACAATTAAAAGTAATGAAATTAATCTAAAAAATAATTAATTATTTAAATACCTTTTCGTCTTTTTTATATTTAAAAATTTTATATCAAACAACTTGAAAATGTTCAAGTAATACAAAATTACGCAATGAAAACCAATTGTAAAATTAAAATATTCAATATTAACAATAAATTTTATTAAATAAATAATTGATTAATTGAGTCAATAAAAAAATATCAAACTTATACTTCGAGGTGCCGATGATAATTCTATAATTATATTTTAAATGCTAGAAATGAAAAAAAAAATATATATATATATATAATTGCTAAAAACTTAAAAGTATATGCGAATTAATGTTATATAAGTTCGTTTTTATGTATTTTATAAAATATAGTAAATACATTTTGAATTTTGAATTAATTTCATTATTAACCATGTTTTTTCTAAACAAAACAAAAATAAAAAAGTTTCGATATTTTAAATTAATTTGAGGTAACATGAAAATTTTCAAAAAATTATAATGTTAGGTTAAAATATTCTAAATATCTTATAACAATAATTTAATCGCTACTTTATGCTGCTATACATTTATTTGATCAAAAGTCGGAAAATCTTTAAAAGTTATATAATTGCCTGATGAATTCTATTTTCCATTATATTAAATTTTATCATTCAACCAATATTAATGATAAAACGATCGAAATAATTGTTATTATAACGAATTAAATTCTCGTATAATAATCACAAATAGTTGAAATATACGACTTAAAATAAAACATCTTTCGTAAAATTTAATGACAATCTATTTTTAACACTTCTCTCAAAATGTAAACGCGTATTAATATTTTATTTTTAATTTTTTGGTAATGATAATACCTTCTATTTAGTTAAAAGAAAAAAGAAACAGAATATAGATTTTCTAAACGAGATAAAAGTAAGCCGAAACCAAACCAAAAAATACTCATAGAATATTAGTATTTTTTTTATTATTCCTTATAATTAGTATATTTATTTATAGAAAAATTGGTTTATTTATCAAATATAATTACTTAATCATACCATATTTAGATATAAAAAATTCAATAATATATTTAGACGTAGATAATATTAACATTATTAATAACTATTGAAATTAAATTCAATTACATAACAGAGTAAAATAAAATAATTATTATTTGAATAATGAATGTAATTAATGACAATATAAAGAATTACTATACAATATTTATTTCAAATTAAATTTCACATTTTTAATAAATTGTATGTAATATTAATTTAATAATATTAAAAATATTAAAAACAAAATATATTAGAACGCTAGCGATAGTAATAGTTTTACTAATACTTTTATGAAAGAATATACATATATATATATATATATATATATATATATATATATATATATATATATATAGTAAATATTTTCGTACAAGGAAAGCTTATAGAAAATTTAATAGATAATTAATTATTAAGAATAATTTTTTTATGATTTTTTTTCGGAATGAATTGAATAAATTGAAAAAGAATTTTGGTAGATTATTGTGGTGTAATTCTTACTATCGGATTATTGATCAATTATACAGTTGTGAAAGAGCTATCGTAAGATATTTTGTTTAAATATTCTTTGGTTGCTACAGATGAGACTCAAGATTAGCGTCGAAGAATGCAAAGGAACGAAGTTATTATATCTTCCTAAATATATCATCATGGCCATTGCTATCGTCAATATATGTTACCGAAGAAGTGGCTTAATAATTTAAATGAAATTTGATTTTGTAAAAAAAGTTCATTGCAATTGAAATTACTGTGATGTGCACTTGTAATTAAAGGTAATGAGAGTGCCCAAAGTGTAAATAATGCAAATGTTGATAATTATTCTTAGATTATTTCAACTTATGCATTCGTTATTTTTAATATAATTTTTATAATTTTTAATAAATGTTTAAGCTGTATTATTTCGATGATAAATATAAGAATTTTTAATGCATTTGAACAATTGTCATAGAATAATAAATAACACGTATTGTTTTTTTTTTGTTTTTCGTTTTTTTCATTCTTTTATTTGTTTTTCCGTAACAATTACGATTCTTTTATTGTTGATAATACAACAAGAAGTAATTAACGTGTGCTAATAATTTTGGAGTTTAAAACCTGTAAGATCGGTAAATTTGATAATAGTCATAATGGAAAATAAATATATCCTACGGCTTAAATAATATATAAAAATTTGAAGAAAAATATTGATAAACTCTATATGAACATACAATGATGACCTGAAAATTAACACTTTATATGAAGAATTCATCAAGTACATTTCGAGTCATTTAATGTCAGTATTGGCGATTTTTTTAATTGATTTTTTTTAATTTGTACTCAAACAATACAATAATTTGATTCTACCGTGAGGCACGGATATCGAAGAAAAGCCAAGAAATTTCTTTGATTAAAGGAACGTGCATGAAATTAATTAATTCATATTTTATTTCTATGCAATGAGTATTCATTAAAAAAATTAGATAAAAACTCTATAAATTTATTGAAATCTGATATTATTATACATATACATAAGAAATTTTATATTGAAATTTTAATGGTGCATAATATTACTTGAGCATAAAATCTTTAATTTAGACGAAATTGGTCGGATAAAGTAAATTTATTCTCACAATTTAAATAATAAAAACGAATTAATAGCTTATCTGTTTTATGATTCAATATTATTTGCTAAACATGAATCAGGCGATAGCAGCCTTGATTTTATTTCACGAGCCGAGCAGATTTTTGGCTTACGCCTTAATTATATTTTCGTCCGATATAATTTCAATTATGTTTCTCTACCATCTGCCATTATAATAAAGGTCAAATAAAATCTGACGTGTCAATGAAAAAAAAAAAAAAAAAAAAAAAAAAAAAAAAAAAAATAAAAAAAAAAAAATAAAAAAAAATAAATAAATAAAACCCATCATTAATCTTAACAATATCCTAGCGAATAATTCCATTTAAATGCATGTATTACCTGCACATAGGATGTGCGTAAGTTTATAGCAAATATTCGTAATCCTTATATTATGGATTACGGTAGTTCACCTGCTGACGAACTGTATTCTGTCTATACCTATGTATATATCTATCCTTAAGCAAGACTTCATCTTCTTGTTCTTGTTGGCGCATAGACACGATCAGCTGTGACTAGAGGTAGGTGGGCAAGAGATAAGTAAATAAGAGAGAGAGAGAGAGAGAGAGAATTGCGCGACCCTGCGCGTAAAAGTCGATTGTACATATGCATATACATATGCATATACATATATATATATATATATATATATATATACGGAACGCATAAAGAAGCAAAAGCATGAGCGGCAGCGGCGACGATGGCGGCGGTGGCAGCGACGACGGCGGCGGTGGCGGTGGCGGCGGCAACGGCAACGGCAACGGCAACGGCGGCGATGGCTACAACTGCACTACACTTCAGAGCAGCTGGACCTGGAGAGTCGAAGACTCGGCGCCCGCGTTTTAAGAGTTAAGCAGCGCCTAGAGCTTCAAACATTCACAATCGAACGAACGAATAAATTTAATATTAAAGCAACGGGATTCGTAGTCAGTAATCTAATTAGCGCGACAGCGTGTGTTACCAGTCTCGCTCGACGGCCAATTGATCATAACTTTGTATCGTCGCTTTTTCTAATAAAATGAAAATGTTGAGTCTATGTCGGCAGTCGTTCGTCGTCGTGAACGCGCAAAAGTGAGTACATGTTGCAAATGCGCAGCTTTCTGTCTCATGCTTGTATGACTTGTGTCCGCATTGTTTAATAATATAATTTAATAATCGTACGTCTTGGTCTTCAGTCATTATTCTCGGATGTTTGGAAAAATTCAACTCACGGCCGCGCCTGTGTGCGTGCCCGCGTGCTTGAATGCGTGAATGCGTGAATGCGTGAATGCGTGAATGCGTGAATGCGTGGCCGTCATTTATTATGTGGATGTGCTTGCATGCGCTCGCTCGCGTGTTTGGATTTTCAAAAGAAAAAAAAATTGATGAACATGTCGTTGCATCGATTTCCTTTTACTAATGTGATTGCGATTACCTAATGTGACATGTACTTCTTACATTACGCTTTATCGCGCTTTTTTGTTCTTACTTATAGTACAAATTGCTAAGCCAGTGTTGACTTTTACTAGCATTAATCTATCCTCTGTCCTTTCTATTCTAGGTCATTTAAACACGGCCATTCGCTGTAGCTTCTCTACCATTTACTCATTCATTTGTCTCTCTCTCTCTCTCTCTCTCTCTCTCTCCCCCCCCCCTCCGTCTCTGTCTCTGTCTCTTAATGTCATTCCCTCTTCACCGCCCCCTTTATTGCGATATTCAAGCTCGTCTATTCAGCTGATTCCCATGTCCTTGCCACTTGCGCGCGGTTGTTCCGGAGCCGAATAATTTCGGAATTTTCCACTCGTACCTATTTCGTGTTCTCATTTTTCTGCATAACTCTGTCTCTCTCTTTCTTTCTCTCCTGCGCTGTCTTCTCTTTACCTTCCACTCCGATTCTCTCCTCCCCCCTCCCCTCTCCCATCAACTGTTTCTTTTTCCTTCTGCCAAATATATCCAACGAAGTTCTCTATCTCTCTCTCGATGACTGACTGAGCTTTGAAATCAATGTTTAACTACACACTCACATCAAATGCATTCTTAACGAGATGATATTCTTATTTCATTTGCCAAAATAAGTTTTTTCTTTCGAATTTCGAAAAAAAAAAAAAAAAAAAAAAAAAAAAAAAAAAAAA